CATGCTTTGCCTGTGGCAGCAATACAAAGAGACAAACATGAGGCTAGTCTCTTCAGAAACTGTTAGGAAGAGTTCCTGCTAAAGCCTGGTTTGAGAGGTGACACATTGACACATCTTGTGTCAGTTCTGCTGGAAAAAAAAGTGCAAAAAGCTTCTCACAATCAGGCTGTGAACTCTTTCATATGCTTAAATATTTGCGCAGATGCCGTCTCTAATTACTAGGAGCTCCATCACAAGCTGCACACAGCACCAGTCCTAGCCAGTTATGCAAGTGCTGGGTGTGTCAGACTCAGAAGAAAGGCAGTGACTTGCTCCTGTCGCTGCTGTTGAGACAAACACTGCTCCCAAAAGCTGCCCACTCCACACTCTGCCACCCCACACCTTGCACTGCAGCACAACACAGCCTGGAGACAGCCCTGCACTTCAGCTGCAGAGAAGTGACACAGAGGATGTGCTCAAGATTACAGAGATTATCTCAGATTAATGAGTCCAAATGAGAAATGTCATTGTCCTTCCACCACAGCAACTCAAGGACATCCTCCCTCAAAACAGAAGTGCTCAGATTGCTGGTGTTGAAATCCCTTTCCTGGGTGACCCGAGCAATGCATAGGTAAAAGCCAGTGGTCAGAACAGTTGATCACATCCTAGAAATCTAGGAACATTTAATACGTCAGGACATACTCAGCCCAAATGCCATTAACTCAGATTTAAGAAGGAAGCAACATGAAGCCCAAGTACCTTAACACAACCGATCTGCAAACCTGGAACGTGTCTGGGATGGCAGCAGAATCAAGCTCCAGCTCACACCCATACTTACAGCCAAGACTTTCACTCAGTTGTTCCCCAAAACAAGCACATCTTGCACTGACAACTGTGAGTAGATCCATTGCAACAACAGTCTCAGTAATGAAAAAAACCACACTGAAATAACAACACCTGTGAATAAAATAAACGCAGCAATCAGATGCAAATCCTTTCACAGAAGAGTACCGCCCTGCTCTTGAAGGTGCGTTCTAACACAGCCTTCCCTCCCCTGCTGTATGAGTACGGGTGTTTAAGCTGTTTCTTGAAATGCACAGCACAATCAGCTGACAATGTGGGATGCAAGAGGAAAAAGACGAAAGAAAAAAAAAATGAAGCAGGAATGAGAAATTAAGCAGGAATGAGAAAGCGTATTGTCTGCCTCTAAGCACTGACAGGGAAGGGATTACTTTGAATTTAAGCTAGCAGTGCAAATATAAAATGATACAAAATAATACAATGCTTACACAACCTCACTGTCTTTTGGTTGTTGTCAGCTCTCTTCCCATTCACTTCTGCATCCATCAGCAAATTTTATCCAGCTACGAGAGGATGATGGGTCTCAAAGGTTTTACTTCCTCACTATTTTCATGAAAATAGGTAAAAGGGCTAGTAGAGAAAAATGACGTCTCAACCCTGAACAAAGACAAGGCTGCAGTATTTACTAGAAGAGGAAACCAATGTAGGATACCAATCTCAACACACACAAAGCCCTAAGAAAGCAGGCTTTGTTAATTCTGTTGTTTGGACACCCATTTGCCTTAGAGCAAAACCTCCACATTTTTACAAATGAGGGAGAAGAAGAGGAGCAAAGCCCTTCTTTTCATGAGTGTACCTGTGGTACCCCAAACAAGACCTCAGGGAGCCAGCTGTCCACGAGTGTTGGTGTCCCCCTCTGGAGTGCTCTGGTGCCCAGAGGCCCCTGACACAGGCAAGTACAAGCAAGGTCTAAGCCCTGGATCTGAATATGGCATTTTACTGTTTTATTTAAACCTGAGTTAGAGGCCCGGACATAAAATAAAAATCTCATATTCTACTTATGGTGCATATTACTACGTTTATTACTTGATATGATTTCAAGTACTGAATAGCACTAAAGACAGCACTTGAGATTTAACAGACCTACAAAAATAGCTTTGAATGCTTTATAAGCTTTAATAACTACCAATTCTACTTGAAAAATCCATCTTCTTCAGCAAGCCAGCTGCAGCACACTGCCCCCTACAAACTAAACAGTAACTATTAAAATTACATTTATTTAACTTAGGAAAAAAAACCCCAAAACTTATTCATTGTAATAAAGATTTTCCACAACAGCTGCTTTTCTTAACCATGATCTCAACTCGATTCTCTTGAGAATAACTACTGAAGAAAAGCCAAATGTAAAATCCTGTTTCCTGTCAATTTAAGCAGATGTTTTTATGTAATCAAAAGCATTGTGGAGGTCCAAGCTAGACTGTATTCTTGCTGCATCCTGAAAATGGGTCTACCAAAGAAATACCTGCAGAATAAAAAAGCACCAGCAAGCCCATTAGAGCAGGAACACCTAAAGATTGCCATTTTCTGCAAAAGTCAGTTTGCATGTTATGTGACAAAACAGCTGCTGAAACTGAAGTTTGTCAATGGCCAAGCTCCTTGAGAGCAAGTTCCCATGGTCTGTTTGGCAAGGATGCAAGTCACACAGCCATGTTAATTAAGATTATTTAAAATAATTTTTAGTGCAAAATCAGCATAACCGAAGTACACTAAAGTTTGGCAGCTAGCCACTGTATGCTTTAACAACAGGAATTTGGGCTGGGAAACCTGAATAAGCTTATTCAGACAGGCATAATCAGCTAGACACTGAGTACAGTTTGGTCCAGACCCAAAAAAACTGATAACTCACTGTCTGCTTCATATTAAAAGAGTTTGCTGGCACTCTGAATGGAGAAAATTGACGGCCAAGTGATAGTAACTCACAACAGTATTTTGGTATTGCCTACAGACAGTAACATGTGATATTTGCACTTTCCCAGCTCACACGGAGAACACCAAACCTCTCTAGTCAGTTCTCCAGAGCAGAACCACAGAAACACAGCTCTGCAGAGAGTGCAGGGCCAAAACACTTCCTAACAACAACAGGAAAAAACCCAAACCACTGAAAAGAACAAATACATGGGGTATCAAACCCATCAAACTAGTATTTTGTATACAGGAAGGAGAGATCAACATAAAGGCTGTTTTTCAGAACCTATTGCATAAGGTCCCATCTTTCCTCAAGCACTTCATTACTGTTTCTGTAGTTAGGGTTACATTTTGGAGAATAGAAAAGGAGAAGGCAAATTCCTTCCTGATTTTCCAGCATGATTAATAGTATTCTTAAAATGCCCAAAGAAGTTGGGTCAAGAAAGAGGAATTTCTATCCCTTCTATTTTTAAGTATTATTTACACTGCACCAACATCCCCCTCTCCATCAAGGTTGGAGTTAATCTACCTATGAAAGACCATTTTCCCTTTAAAAAAAGTTACAGTGCACATTACTGAAACATGTTTTATATCATTTATCATCTTAATCTGTAGAAAGGTTATCCACACTAAGTTTGCTGTTGTAAATCCAGCAACATGCCGTACTTAGCACAGATAAGTCTCACACACACACACAAAAGAAAAAGTTTCATCCAGCAGAATACATTTCCCTAGGGTATTGCATAATTTTGGCACTATGACTGCATCCACTTTAGGGTTTTTGCTTCGGCTCCAAAATCATGAAGGAGTTCAGTTTCTTTCCAGACTCTGAAGTGACACATCAGTGTCAATAAAACACATTACTACACTAGAAGATATTACTAAATAGGATATTAAGAGTGGTTTTAAGAATTCTTCGAAGTTCAGTTATGCTAAAGCAAGCCATTCAACATATGAGCCTTGAAATGCTTTTGTCCCTTTCTGTTTTAAGCTATTCCTCCAGGAGTTACACCAAAAAAGACAGGAAGGCATGAATAGATAAGCAACCACCTAACAGTATCTAGTACCAGCACTTTGTTCCCTTCATTCCATGAAAGAGACCAAGCAGGGCAAAAACTTGCTTCATGTGCTGCAAAAAAGCAGGTGAGGCAGCAGCCCAGGAGCCCATTCTTCAAGGGGAGCATTACCAAACACAGGTCCTGCAAACACGCAGGAATCCTGGTGTGGCACAGGGCAGCATTCTGTTTGGAGAACAGCAGATGTGCGGAGGCAAACTGAACAGTCCTGCAGCCTGCTGAACACTGGAACAGCCACAGGACCAGATCTAGACTGGGCTCTCAAGCTGCTGCCACCAGCTGGAGTTCAGCTCATAAGAACACCAAACCTCTCTAGTCAGTTCTCACAGAGCAGAACCACAGAATCACAGCCAGAGGGCTGACACAAAAGCAGGAAAATAATCAGAAGCTGAGGGTGGGCAGTCGCCAGTGGGGCAATAACAACAGAATTCGGGCCTTACGGTGCTTGGATATGTAAAAGGCTGTTGTAAACCAACAGAATTAGCCTGCTGCTGTCAGGACGAGTAGTAACGGGTTACTGCGGCAGAAGTGAAGGTCTGGGAAAATTAAGCGAAGAATAACGCGGCGGCGAGGTGATTCCGTCGAACAGCAGCCTGAAGACAAGGGGCACAACTGCCGTCCTTCCCTGCCCTGCAGCAGATCTGGACGCGGCCTCGCACACCCCTTCCCGTCCCATTCCGCCATTCTTCGCCCATCAGAACGCCGCAGGCGGGCAAACCGGGGCACCCGGCTTCAGGACCCCTCCGATGCCGAAGGCAGCAGCCCGGTAAGCTCCCACTGCGCCGGCACCTGCCGAGCCCTTTCCGAGCGGTGCCGCGGGACGGGACAGCACCCAGACTCCCTCCGCGCGCACTCGGGCAGCGCCCGCGGAGCGCTTCCCCGGCTCCCCGCTCCGCTCCGGGCCGCCCGCGGCACAGCTGCTGCAGCGGCGACCCGTTCCGACAGCCGCGCCGGAGCTGCCCCGTCCTCCCGGAACGTACAGGACGCTGCAATACGCGGCTTTCCCAGCTACGAAAGCGCAGAGCTGTTATAAAGAGGCAGCGCAGGGAGTCAGGTGTCCTCAGCGAGCCGGGCCGGGCTCCTCCGGCCGCGGGCAGGGACACACGGCGCGCTCCTGCCCTCCGCTGCGCCGTCGCGGCAGGCCCGCGCAGGACGCCTTCCCGGCGCCCCGAGCCCTACCTGGCCGGCGCAGCAGGGCGCGGACATGCCGGCGGCGCGTCTGACCGCCTCGCTCGCTCGCTCGCTCGCTCTCTCACAACAGCGCGGTGCGAGGCGGCCGCCCCATGCGGGCTGGGCCGGGCCGCGCAGGGTACCGCCGCGGACGGGCGGAGCCGCACCGCCTCTGCCCGCAGCCCTCGGCCCGGCCCCGCCGCGCGGCTTCCGCTGTCGTCAGGGAGCGCGGCCCCCGCGGACGGCGCTGGGGCGAGGGCTCTGCGGGGCGCGTTGCGCCGCGTCGCGTCGTTCCTCGGCGGGAGCGAGGCCTGCTCGCGGCGCTACGCGTTCCGCGCCCGCACGGCTGTGCCGCGGCTCCCCGCGGGCCGCTCCTTCGGCGCTGCTCGCCCCGAGGCCCGGCGGCATTGCGGCCCCGCGCCCCGCTCACCCCGACGGGCCGAGGCGGTGTGAGGGCACGGGCAGCCCCTGCGGCAGGTGCGGGGCCGGCACGCTGACAGTGCGCGTTCAGCCCACGTGAAACGGATGACAAAACCACGCTCCGCCGGAGCGTTCCAGTGCGTGTGTCACAAACGTGTGAGATAGATAATTTTTAGGAGACGGGATTTCTGGTGAAGAAACTCTAATTCGCGATTGCAATGCCGGCCATCCTGCCAACAGGAGAGCACCTACGGAAATAACATTGCAGCTTTTGTATCTTGTCTCCTCCCAGATTTACCCCCTCCCCCTTTTCTCCGGCGGCTGGGTACTGCAGATTCACAATCTCACCGAAGGCTTACATTTGTTAATTACATTCTGACATTTCTTAGTTCATGTTCTATCTTTTCGCCTGCTGGTGGACGTCCTGCCATTCCCAAGAAGTCTCAGCGCTCTTATCGCATTGACAGGGTGATTTTTTCCAAGGCCTCTTCCATTCTGCCCAAAGGATGCTTCCTTTGTTAAGCAAAGAGCACCGGGGAAGGATGCTTCTTCAGGCAGGCGTGTGCCACTTGCCTTACTTCCTTGGGCATGTCATGACTTGTTTTCTTGTTTGATTGCTCTCTGCAAGATATTCTTGCAATGTGTATGAGCATGTGACAAAATATTACTTATGTATATTTGTACTGGCTAAACATAAATTGTTGCTAGCTGTACATGTGTGTTGCTAACTATTTAACTTCTCCTTTTTGAATGCTATCACTCAGGTCTCATCTGTCCAGTACCAAAAATTAGGAGTCTTCCAACATAAAGAGCCTCCTAATCAAGGGTTTTTGATTAGTAAAGGCATTATCACACTATTTAGGAGTGAAATGTCTAACTTGGTAGGAATGGAATGTTGTTTCCACATTATATATTAAAAAGGGCAATTGGTTTGAAGAAGTAGAACATAATGCAAACTTATCCTTAGAAATAATTGATCTAAAAAGTAGAAATACAGTATATGTTAGCAGCGTGCTTTAGAAACATTATTACTGAATTGTGTGATTAATTCTTTCTTGCAAAACTGCAATAGTTTTGTTCCAAATAATGTGGTTATAGTGTTCGGGATTAGAAAACATATTGTAGAGTTGTTCTGTTAGGATAAGAAGCTCCCAGCAAAAGAAAAGCAGATTTAACAAACATCAAAGAAGCTAGGGCCTCTACACAAGGCCAGATTGTCTCACTCCATGAGAACATTGGAATGTGACAGGCAGGCATCAAGATATTCCCCTCTGTCCTCCTTCTGAGCTTATCTCTATGCAAGGGAGGACAAGCAGATATCCAGAAACAATGACCAAGTGTGGAGTGAGGGTCAGAAGTTAAATTAATTAATTAAAAGTTTACGCTTAGCCAGTGAAGATTTGTTTGTCCAGTGTTTGTATGTTTAGTGAAGCGTTGAGAAGATTGTGAACCTAAAGTATTCAGCCAGTGAGGAACTAGGGGAGAAAGAGATAAGCGTCAGGCAACAGGGCATAAAAAGATGTAACACTGTTTTCTGGGTGCTCTCCTGCTTGCATTATTTGGATATTTCCAACAACTTGTCTTTAACTCAAGGCTCGGAGGTAATCCTGATGGCTGGGCAGACAAGAGCTGCAGCCTTTGCACCTATAAATTACTCCATCTACCTAATCTCTGTGACTATAAAGTATTTCACATATCTGCTGAGCATGCAAACATTATCAGAGACCCCTGATAAAGTAAAAAGAACCCCTTCTCTCCCCCCTGCCACCCCCCACCCCAGAAAAGAACTATTTGTAAAATATTTATCTTGTTAGTTCTAATGCAGAAACTCCATTCCATTCCTACACTCCAGATGTGAAGTTCTGTTGAGGCTCCAGAGGAGATGCTATGGGTGAAGTTGTTCCTGGATCTTTCGCTTTACAATTCTCTGTTTTCTTGGTAGATTTATTGATCCCTCTCTGTTTACATATCTTCCATAAGTCATGTGTTGGAAAACCACCAATCTTATCATGAGACATACATACCATCTGTTAATAAAGCTGCAAAATATATGTATATTTTTTCCAGAAATCCTGTTTTCTCTGCTTTGAGGATTGTCTTGAGTGTGTTGGTTCCCCATACTTCCCCAGGAATCCCGTTCTCCGAGGTCATTTAGATGCTGAATTTTTTCAGTTATCTTGTCAAGGAGATTTCCTATCTCGCTAATTAGGTGTGTCATAATCACATTTTTATATGCTGGTGCAGCAGTTTTGAGCAGTCTATTTCTCATACAAACAGAGCATTCCACATCACAACATTAGCATCCTCAGTAAAAACGGTCGATTTCATCCCTTCTTCCTTGATTTGTTGTACACAGTTTAGCAGAGTTTACCACTGACATTCAGATCCTGGCCAAACATATTCTGTAGGCTATTTAGTATTACATCCTTGAGCTGCTGAGACTAACAAGTTAGTATTGTAAACATTATTTCAAAACGCATCTGAACTCACAGTTAAAAACTTTTAAAAACCTTATCATACAAACACATCATCCAGGAAAGCAGAGGATCCCCTGATCTTTGTTTAAACTCCCCAGTTACATTTTCTTTACACTGAATATAATCTTACCTCACTTGTTAGCACCTAATTCCACTTTTCATCCTCATGCAGGTTTCACACCTACAAATTCATCTAGGAGCCCAGCCTCATCGGAATCCATAGAATCCCAAATAGCTCTATTCCATCTGTTGGGATCTCACTGGACGCCTGCTTCTGCTATCACTAAATGCACATTCCTATGATTCACTCATCCTCTTTTTCTTACATCTCGCTCGGGAGCTCTGGTTACAGCAAGGATTTAGAGAACCTTCCCTGGCAATTGTGACATCCTAAGCAGATTGTCCACTCATAGATGAGGTCTCCAACGTCTCTGCCAAGGGGCCCAACTTTTATACAGATGAATAAACAAGTTTATGGAACTTCAAATACAGAAACATCTTGTTTCATCCTTTTGGATTCTACCCAAAGCCTGAGCAGGTCGCAAGGAGGGGCTGGAGGAGCTTCCCTATCTATTTAGGCTTTAACCACATGTTTCTCAACAAGGTCAGATGTCTGGTTTGAGGGTCTTGCAACATGCCCCTAAATAAAGAAAGATCCACTAACTGTTACTGTTAAAAAAAACCATTACAACAGATTTTTATGAATTGCCATCAAATACATACATTCAGGTTAAAACAGCAAGATAGATATTGAGTTGTATGTGTGGTATAGTCTTTGGTTGTGAGGTTCATCTGAAGGTCAGCTTTGGTTCAGAGTCTGTTGTTCAGGTTTTAGTACCTCAGGCCTTTCGGAATCTAAAGGGGGACTATAAGAAAGAAGGGAACAGAATTTATCTGAGTCTGTTGTGACAGGACAAGGGGAGACATTCAAGACCAGGCTGGGCAAATTCTGAGCAACCTGATCTAGCTGTAGGTGTCCCTGTTCATAGCAGGGGAATTGAACTAGATGACTCAAGCGATTCTATGATTGCATGATCTTCTGAGGCACAGGGGTGAGGCTGAGCAATTGGTAGCTCCCAGTGTACTCCTTCATACCCTTTTAAAAATGGGTTGTGATGTTTTCCTTCTTTCCAGTCACTGGGGACTTCAACTGACAGCCATGACTTTTCAAATATGATGAAGAATGGCTTGGCAATGAGACAGCGCCTTCAGTACCCTGGGATGCATGTCATCGGGCCCAGTAGAGTTCTTATGTTTAGGTTCATCTGCTGTTCTCAGACCCAGTCTTCATTTACAGAGGAAAGTGCTTTGGTCCCTCAGCTCCTCCTCTGAGATTCAGGGTCTTGAGAGTTGTAGGGATACTGCCAGCAAAGACAGAATAAAAAAGGTTTTTGAATATCTCAGCCTTCAGTGTATCTGTTGTCACCAGTTTGCTCCCCTGGCTCCTTCTTTTCTGACCAATGTATCTGTAAAATCCCTTCTTATTATTCTTTGCATCCCTTGCCAAGTTCAGTTGTATCTGTGCCTTATCTTTCCCGATCCCATCTTTGACCACCCATCCCTGCTTCTTCTGCCTTCTCATCCCTCACTTTGAACAGCAGATCTTTGTTCAACCATGATGGCCTCCTTCCTCCCCTGATTGATTTCTTACACATGGGGATGGAGAGCCCTCGCACTCTGTGAAAAATGTGCTTAAAGACCTGCCAGCTCTTTAAGTTAGCTCCTTTATCCCTAATGACAATTTCCAGGGGATCTCATCCATTAATTCTTTGAAGAACTGGGAATGTGCTCCTGTAAAATTCAAAGTCCTGACTTTACCCTTTGCCAGCCCCATATCTCTCAAGATCATGAACTCCACACCAGGGCATGATCATTGCAGCCCAGATTACTTCAAATTTTAACCTCTTTACCTCTCTAATTATTCCTTCTGTTGGTGTGCACTGGGTCCAGTAAAGCTTCTCCTCTTAATTTCTCAGCTTTTTTGTATGATTTCAGGCTATCTTTGTTACTGCAAACAGAGTCAGCAGTAAGTACAAACAAAGTAGCAATACAGTTCCCTGTAGAAAAACTCCGTCGCTTCATCTGTATTTGTGTGCTGTAATATTTAAGATAACGATTTAGAACCTTATTTCTAGTGTTAAAATACCAGAATCTTAGGAACTCTGTGACTAAGGCCATTATACTGTGTATATGTGTAGAAAACATCAAAAAAGGAATCAGTATAGATTGCAGGATGTATTGCACAAAACCCCTTCCTTTTGTGAGTGCAAACAAAAAATTGATGCTCTAGG